GGTGGGGGGTGGGCTTTGGTGGTGGTGGTGGTGGTGGTGGTGGAGAGGGGTGGGCTTTGGTGGAGAGGGGGGGGCGCCCTCATCCCCTGTGAGGGAGTGGGCAGGGGCGGGAGAAGGACGCCAGGTGCCGTTGGGCTTGCTGCGCCTCCAAACCCTTTGAGCGACACTGGTGAGGGCAGCCAGCCCGCTGCAACTGCATGCCAGACACCCCACAACCCAGACCGAGAAAACGCAGCCGAGTGCAGCATGCAGCAGAGCAGACCAATTCGCCAACAGGAGTACCTGCGGAAGTACGGGCAACAGCAGCAACCCCAGCAGCAGCAACAGCACACCCAGCAAGATCAAACGCGGCCAGCCCCGCTCTCACCAGGACGTTCTCCATGACAGTCTCCAGGGAGCAGGGGACGTCGCGCATGAACCACCCGGTGCGGGGCGTCCAGCCCTCGGGGTCGCGCCCCTCGGGCACGGCCGACGTGGGGGCCGACTCGGCCGCCTCCTTTGACGCGGGGTCGGCCCACACCCACAGCAGGCCCTGCTCCTCCTGCGGTGGTGTGTGTTTGAATGTTGGGGGGGGGGAGTGAGGTGGCGGGGGGACCAGGGAGTCAGGGAGAGCTGAGACAGGGGGTGCTGCCCGGGTGCTGGAATATTAGTAAGCAAGCAAAAGGGGATAGCGATGAGGCCGGGTGGCCACGAGCCGCTGTGGTCGTGATCAATCGGTCGAAACAGAGGCCGGGCGCGTCATGCGACTTGAACGCGCCAGGAGACATGCGCTACACCCAAGATCCGGACTGGGCGCCCCGTGTGACGTCACCTTGACGGGGTATGACGTCACGCAGGACCTCTTGCTGCCCATGGCGCTGGCCTTGGCCCGCGGGTCCCGGATCTGGGGGATCGCCGTGCACGTCCCAGACCCGTCAAACTGCCACCTGGCGTCGGGGGGGCGACCATTAGGAGGAACAACGATGGAGGATTAGGGAACGATTGTCAAGAGGACGGTGGGCTATTCATGGGAGGACGATGGGGTGCGAAAGCGGGCAGGCTCAAGTGAGTGTGAAATCAGACATCTGAAATTACACATGTGCGCCGCCGACATTCCCTGACGTCGCGTTTGAACATAACCAGGGGGCGCTGCGGCCAACACAATCAAAAACTGCGGCGCAGCTGCCACACCAGCCTTACCCCACCGGGCCAAACACCACGGCCCCCTCCCCCCCCCCCCACCCAGAGTAAAGCCTTCCCCACATATTGCAACACCCACTTTCCCCCTGACCCCCCACCCACCCGTGGTAAGAGCACATGAGGTGCCCCGTGGACGGCTCTATCCGGCCCTCACTCAGCGGCGCCAGCCTGTGGGGGCAGCGGTCCTCCATGGCGGTCCAGCGGGAGGCCGCCGAGTCGTACCACAGCACCAGGCGCCTGCCCAGAAGCTTCACGGCGGTGGGGCGGGCGCGGTCGAGGTCCCCCACGATGGCCATGGGGTACCTTTCAGGGGTCGAGAGGACAAGGGTGAAGGAGGGTGGTTTGGACGTTTCGAAGGTTGGCTCGGGATGGGTGTGTGCAGGTATCCAGTTGGGTTCAGTGGCTGCAGCGCGGGGGACCGAGGGAGATGCATGGCACGCAGTGCTGGGTGGTGCGCATGGGTCCAAGGGGGTGGGGTGCATGTTCCTGTCCAACATGCGGCTCGCCCTGCTATTGCCAGGTCCAGGCCGGCCACACAACGCGCCCATGCAGCCCACCATTGCTGGTACCAATTGATGGCTTCGCTTGCCGCGCCCTCTTGCGGCGCGGCGGCCGGCGTCGTGGTCGCTGCACGGGAAATGGACAAGGACCCAGGCGGCATCGTCTAAACGGCGGTGAGGCGGTTTGGGCATGCGAGGGGTTGCGGATGCATCCTCTCGCGCGTGGGGCTGCGCCCGTTTTCATGCAGATGCCGCGCCGAGGCGTGGCGGGCGCTGCAGGCGCCTGCTTCAGCTCCAGCTGCAGAGCAAGCACACGCATGCGCTGCCTCCCGCACGGCTTCCTCATGCGCTGCAGGGGTTACGAGGCACAGGCTGGCCCAAAGACATGCGGCTGTGCCGGCAACACCCTCCTGCCCGCCAGTCTCAATGCATTCGCCCACTCACTGACGTCATCGGTGGTTGCGACTTGCATGCGCTCCGCCAGGCGGTGCGGGCGTGTCCTGCTGCCGCCGCTGCGCGCCCCGCATGGCGCAGCACGCGAGACGTGCGGCGAGCGCAACGCGCTGCGGGCGGGCAGCAGCGGCGCCGCCGAGCAGCGCGCGCTGTGCTGCACGCGAGCGTGAAGCACGCTCATTGCTGGCTCCCGATGCGGGTGAGGATTGAAATTATGCAACCGCGCTGTGCCGAAGGAGGCCTGGTGGAGATCTTGACACGGGTCGAAGCGTCAGGTCGAACGCCAAAAAACAGTGGATGCAAGTAAACAATGGTTTCGATGTGTCAGTCTCTCTGGGTCGACATCCTGTGAAGCTGCGTGGTCCACTGAGTGACAACGCTGCGAGTGCCGCCGCCCACAAGCGTTGTGGCATCCGCTTCCCGCCAGCGAAGAGTGCGCAGGGTTGTGCTGATGACATTTTGCGTCTGGTGCTGATGCTGACGGTCTCATTAAGTCATGGCGCCCCTGCAGCATGGAAGGGCCAGTCCACGTTGCAGTGAAGCTTCCGGGAACTCACTCCAATGGATTAACCCTCATGCCGAGCGCTGGTCCACAGCAGGCGCGCCCTGCAGCCGGTACAAGCACGGACGCGTCTCATCTTGCAAGCGCTGGCACTGAAGCTTGCAGTCAAAAAAGGGTGGCCACGCCGCTGAACATTACAACCAACCAACCGTGTGCGTGCAAGGCAGCCCGCCGACCTCGGTGTCTCCTGCTGGTTTCGGAAGTGGCTTTCTATCGCAGAGTTGCGGTCAGGGCATAAACATGTCCCGTATAGAATAATGGGTGTGCGGTCGTACCGCCGTCGTCAAAGCTGCCGCTGATGGCCGCCCGCCAGCAGCGGCGACGCATAACCATAGCAGCCCCCCCCCAAAAAAAATCCCGGGAGGCAGGGAGCCATCCGCCCACGAATCATGCATCTCACCCGGCGTATGCACCATCCAGGGGGCCGCAGCCAGGGTAAGGACAGTGTGACCGCTGCCAGGGGCGGCTGTGCAACCTGCCGGCTGTCTTTTCAGTCATCTTTTCAGGGGCTGGATTGGATAGCCAGGCCCAAGCAACCGCGGGAACCCATGCACGGCCGGCAGGCCTGTGCAACAGTCATGTTTTCTGCATGGCCGCTGCACGGCGCCCGCAGTAGATGGCAGGCCCGACCGAGCTGGGATTGAAAGTCGGCAGGCGCTGCCCACCCACTGAGGTGGCCGCTGGTCGGCAGCGGGTTGAGGCTGCTGCGCATTCGTGTCGCCGCAAAAAGCTGGTGATGACGCCCCGGGAAAGAGGCCCCCCGCTGCAAGGGAAACGGGGCGAATGGAATGCAGTGTGCAAGCAACGCCTTTGGGCGGGCCCCGCGAATGCATGCATGCGTGCAAAGAGTAAGGACGCGCTACCCGTGGCGGCGTTAAGACCCTCACTTGAGCCTCACAACACGGCCTCCCCAAAGGAGTCGGGAGCAGGGGCCATTCGCATGACGGGCCCCTTGGGTTGCAACGATGGCATGTGGTGCAGGTTTATGCCTGGACCTGCTGTGGCGGGGCGACCCTGTGCAAAGATGCAGCCGGCCGGCGTGCACAAGCAGGCAGCGCGGCAAAGCAAAACCCACCCAAGCGACAAAAGTGCGGCCTCAGCCGCCAAGAAAGTGGCCCTTGCCAAACAGATGCCGCCATCCATGCCGCCGGTGCTGCCCCACGGCGGAGGCGGGCGGGGGCGCTGCAACTGGGGATGCAGGCCGGTCACGCGAGCGCCAGGGGCGCCCCCACGCAGTCGCTGTTGTCGACACGCGACAGCTCCCAGCCCTTGATACCAGCGCGATCCAGCGCCTCGTCGATGCGCGCGGTGTGCTGCTCCGGCCACTTGCCGTCCGGGGTGCCCAGCACGGCGCCCGAATAGCTCATGCCGGCGCGGGAGGCCGCGCCAGTGTAGTAAAACAGCGCGAATGACAGGTCATCCGCGGCGTCCTGCGTGTGCGGTTTGATTTCGAAGCGCCGCCGGGCAGGGGCAAGCAGAAGAGGGATTCGTGAGGGGAGTTGCGGGTGGACCAGGCTGCCGGGGGCTCGCAGCAAGTGGGGCGAAAGCATTCGAGTGTTCAAACGCAGCGTGTCCATTTGGACTTTGGTTGCGATGGGACTGTGAAACGAGTAGTAGCGACGCCTGTTTGCAGCACAGACAACGCCCGCCGCTGGCACGCGGTAGGTGTGCACTCCGCCGCCCGTGCGGCTGCCCCCGGGTGTGACCTGAGGTCCGCTTGCTCTCACCAGCACTCTCCAGTACTCCTGGCTTGTGATGCCGTTGTCCAGCACGCTGTAGTGGAACGTCCCCGGGTGCTCCCCCCGCCTTACGCGGTACCTGCGGCGCCGCCACACCGCGTCCCCTTGCAGCGTGATGGCCTTGAACACGGGCTCGTACCAGAAGGCCTGGCCCTTAGGGTAGTACAGCTGGGGGTGTTGAGGGCGGGAGGTATGGGTGGGTTGCGTGCGTGTGGGGTGGTTGATTTGGTGCAGGTGTGATTCATGCAATGTGTGAGAAGGAGCGCCGATTTTATGCCAATCGCCTGGCAATAAAAATTGGAAGTTGGTTGAGGGACCGTTGATCAGACCCACACGGGGATCAGGCCCGAAGACGCTCGCACTCTGGGCGGTCAGGTGGCACGGGAGAGGTGGGGCAGGCGGTTGGGGTGGCGCCCCCCACCCCTCCCACCCTGCCAGCTCAGCGCACCTGGTGCTGGCACGGGAAGAAATCGTAGCTGAGGGTGGGGGGATGAGGAAAGCAGGAGAG